CATATGACGTCCGGGAAGCAATAGCAAGCAAAAGATTAAGATATATGCATATATACACTGAATACACATGCACATACGGATCTGCAAGCAAGCAAACGAGGAAGCCATCAATTTACTGGACGCATAAATCATGATGGGATACGAACGATCCAACAAGGTGCAAGCACACGTCAAGTCATATACAGGCTGACATCACATCTACAACTCTGAAATATCAAAGCCAAATCAGAACCAAGCCATGAGCAGCAAGCCGTCCGAGACCAAAGATAGCAACCTGTCCGTTCGAGTGTCCGACTACTTCGAACACACAAGATGTCCAACCGTGCATCAAGCCAGATAACAAGCAAGCCAAGACTGATTACTCGGCCGAGGAGTCTGAGTACTCGGATACGATTTAAGCAAGAAGAACACGCAATCTACATAACAACTCGGATACGGAAGCCAAGCCAAAAAGAGGACGGCACACAAGAAAACCCAAAGCTGCAGGCTAGACAAAAGTACACCGAGTCTGCACGAACGCAAAAAGTTAAGATGAACTCGGATACGAAGACCTCAGTATGAACGGTACAAAATCAAGATCAACTCGGATACGAAGGACTGACCATGAAGCAAGACGAACGACCAAAGAAGCAGGCAAGGCCAAGGCGTTTGTGCACTATTTATGTATGTGCACGCACGTACATATCAAGGCTCGTACATGATGCGTACATTCCTGTCAACAAGTTGTTCTAGCCGGCCAACAAGCAAGCCATCCGACTGGAAGCAAGCAGGCCACTACGACAACCCGGTAATAGCGCAACACTCTCCAAGTACTCCACGACGACGACGGATTCCGGCTACCACTACAATAACCCGCCGACTCCGCCGCGATGCTCAATGACTACCTCGACTACTACTCAGAACCAACAAACTAGTCGGTGACGAGTTCTGGATGCTCGACATGTCTACAACCAACTGCTCGGACGTGGTATCCAACTACTCATCCGAAATACCCAGCAACTTGGCTGCGGCGATCGACAACGCAGCCACGAACCAAGCTAAGTCACGTCTCATTTTTTATATATTCCGGATATTATTCGTATGCCTCTGTGGCCATATCATCTTCCCTTAACGGCTGTTAATTTTCTCGGATAGTAAAGCCTTAATTCGTGAAGCTTGTTTTCTCGAATGGATGGTCACGTCAATGAACCTCTGAATCATACGGATGGTCACGTCAAAGAACCTCTGAACCATACGGGTGGTCACGTCAATGGACCTCTGAACCATACGCGAGATTCAAGTGCTTAAACGTAACAGGCTACTACCCAGGAAATTAACCGACCTAGCAAGGGAAGACACAAAAAATCATCATGCGAGCAAACATAGTGCTCTAGGTCTTCTCTTAACGGTCGCCGAATTCCTCAGGTAGAACACGCCTTAATCCGTGAAGCTTGTCTACTCACATGGACGATCACGAACCGAGTGCCAGGCTCACATGGTCACGTCATAAACCTCTGAACCATACGCCAGAGATTCAAGTGCTTAAACGTAACAAGACACTACCTGAGGAATTTGCATGGCCTGGCAAGAGCAAGACGCAAAAAGTTTATATGCATTTCATAATGCCGGGGGCCGCTACTGATTGATTATTCAAATATGGGACATGCTCCCGACTTCATATCCGGAATGTCATTTACAATATATTTTTATGTTTAACATGCAGGGGAGCTACATCTATACCATGAGATCGGGAAAAACACGCTCTTGAGAGCTATTTTACTCAGACAAGTCCAGAAACAACCCGGATTGATCAAAAAAGAACCCCGACAAGATACGGCAAGTACCAAGACAAATCCAGAAACAACCCGGATCGAACATAAAACAACCCCGAAGAGGTGCTGCAAGTACCAAGACAAATTCAGAAAGAACTCGGATTGATCAGAAAACAACCCGGATAAGGTACATACAAGTTCAGAAAGAACCTGGACGAAGTGCAAACAACCTGGAAGAGGTACATCAAGAACAAGAGAAGTCTAGAAATGACCTGGATGAATAAAAACAACTCGGAAGAGCATCACGGCTTAGTCAAATCAGAAAACAACCCGGATAAGGTACTTACCAGTTCAGAAAGAACCTGAACGAAGTGCAAACAACCTGAAAGAGGTACATCAAGAACCAGAGAAGTCTAGAAATGACCTGGATGAATAAAAACAACTCGAAAGAGCATCACGGCTTAGTCAAACACTAAGCTCGGGGGCTCGGCATTCGCTTCAACTACGCTTGGGGGCTCGAATTCAAGGATGAAAGACCAAAAATACAAGTACTCAAGACTACAACAAAGACAACACATCAAGACCCTTCATCCGATTTCTATTCTAAAGAAAAGTACTCGAAGAAGGCTCGGGGGCTGCGGGATACATAACCCCAAAAATTTTTTAAAGACAAGAATCTGGACCCTCCAACTTTTGCAAGCAAAAGCAAGAGGCTCGGGGGCTACACTCACTGAGTGCACTTTTGTCCAAAAGTGCACATCAGCCGAAGAAAAGACAAAGAAGACCATCTCAAGGTTTCACTTCAGAAGAACCTGTAACGGATTTACAACAACTCAACGAAGACCAAGAAGAACAAGAAGGCTTCTGAAGCTCATCCATGAAATGCTCGGGGGCTTGTCGACGCGGGACCCATGGGGTTTTCCACGGAGAAGAGAGAAGAATACCTAGTCCAACTAAGATTCCCTACATGTAATCCTACTAGAACTAGTTACACTTAATCCTACTATGATCTCTACTTTGTAACCGACTAGAACTCCCGCCTCTCCTGGACTATATAAAGGAGGGCAGGAGTCCCTAGATCGGCACCTACACACAACCGACAGAACTCACAACCACAACATAACTCGCAACACAACAAATAGCGCAGGGCGCAATATACTATCCACACCAGACTGGACGTAGGGCGCCGTGACTTTCCGGCGTGCCGAACCAGTATAAATCATTGTCTCTCTGTGTTTACCATCGAGTTCCTGCAAACGCCGATACCCCTCCGAACAAATCACCGTCCCGGGTACCCCGTGACGGGTTGCCGGTGGTAAAACATCGACAGCGTCCAAAGATTCAATGTGACAGGAAATCTTAAAAAAATTTATAAAATTTTGGAAACTAAACAGGCACGTAGTATGCGGGTAGGGCGTGTAAATTGCGAATAGCTAGCTGGACGAGGCTCATAAATAATAAACAAAGAATACTGCTGTGAAGAGTTATGTGAGAGTTGTTTACGTAAGATCGTGCTAGACCAGCTATTTAAAAGTCGTTAGCTATTTGATCTCTTTTAATAACTAATAGAATTCTTAGGTTCTGTTTGATTTCTACATGCGCTCCTAAAATTCCTGTCACATCGAATGTTTAGTTACATGCATAGAGTATTAAATATAGACTAATTACAAAACTAATTACACAACTTGCGACTAATTTGCAAGATGAATCTTTTAAGTCTAATTAGTCCACGATTTGACAACGTGGTGCTACAGTAAACATGTGCTAATGACAGATTAATTAGGCTGAAAAAAATCGTCTCGTAAATTAACCTTCATCTATATAATTGGTTTTGTAATTAATCTATATTTAGTGCTCTTTACTAATATATAAATATTCGATGGGATGCATTTTAGGAGCGACTAAATAACCAAATATTCCTTGATAGACTAGTTATTTGAGAACGATGGGTGAGGCCGGTAGGAGTATACCGTACTGTGCTTTTGCACTCCACCTCCGTCTCGGAGCGGGGCGGAAGATCTTCTGCACTGGTAGATCCGATTGCCGCGGGGATTTGGCTGGCTGTGCCCAATTTGGTCTGTGCAACTTCTTCCTTCCAGCCGGAACCATACACGCGCCACGCAAATTCCACGAGCCGAGAGGTTCGATGTCTCCGCTGCCGCGTGCTTCGCTATACTCCTGCGACCGAAACTTTACGGCTGTTTCCAGTTCGCGCTCATCACTGCTTACGCACTTTGTAGCATCGTTTTACGTTCTTTTTTTTGGAACGGAATTGAAATAGTACCACTACCACGTTTGTCGCACGCAAGAGTCCAACGGAGCAGGGAAGTACCGTGGAGTAGTACGTCCTTTCTTCCTGGCAGAGTATAGTGGTAAAATAAAGGCAACCAAGCATAGCATCGTCCCTGATTTTTTAATCGCATCGCCTTCCATTTGGCACCAGTAATCTTTAGGGACCAACCTTTAACTGTTTCTACTAGTAGCAATGAAAATCATATGCAGCTAGATGATAAGCGTATTTTGAAACAACACTTTCATTTTTCTGAAACTTTGGAACAACACCTTAGTAGGAGTATACTAGGAACATGAAATAGTTGCATGCTGTTTGGTGTGTCGTTAATCCAGGCTTTCAACTTTGCATGCTGTTTATGTCATGTCATCTCTGATGGCATCAAAAGCTAGTGACGTCCACCCATACATACCACCTCAGCAACCGGCCATGAATCGAGCCAGTCGAGTACAGCCGTACAGGACAAATGCCGTATACGGGCGGCAATGAACCGTATGGACTATGGAGTAGTAGTAGTATATCAGGTGATGTACGCAAATGGTCCGGGCCACACAGGAAATGCGAAACTGGACAGCTCATCCTCATTAAAATCTGAAAAACGACTGTACAGATGCGGCAGACGACGTCCCTCTGTCGACTCTCGCTCGTCTTCCGTATTCACATGATGGATGGAAGACGCGAAGCGAGCACTCATCACACACGCACGCTACCAGACAAGCTATTACTGCTAGATAAATTTTGTGATTAGAATTATCATCACTCTTTTTTTTTGCTTCCCCTAATAAGAAAATAAAGAAAAAAGAAATTCAAAGTCCTATGCCAACGCATGCATCCGCCGCGATGTGATGTAATATACACGATCGATCCAACGGCCAGGATTAAAGCACGACGCCATCATTTCTGGAAGGGGGGGAAAAGAAAAGGAAGGAAGAAATACGCTGCTGATAGACTTGATTAGATTAGAGCCAGAGGGCACCGGCCTTCTTGAGGATGGGCACGAGCTCGCCGGAGATGTGGACGGCCATGAGCCGGTCGAGACCGCCCAGGAGCTTTCCCCCGACGAACACCGCCGGCAGCGCGGCGGCCTCGGCGCCGGCGCCGGCCGGGACGACCCCGGCGAGCGCGGACTCGTCGGCGACCTCGTGCACGGCCGGGTTCACGCCGAGCCCCTGCAGCAGCCGCTTCACCACGTGGCTCAGGCAGCACCCGCGCCGCCCCACCACCAGCACCGGGCTCTCCGCCACGGCCCTTCCGACTTCCGCCTTGCCGCCGTCGTCGTCCCCGGCCCCGGCCGCGGCGTCGGGCCGGGCGCTCTCCTCCTCCGCCGCCGCCGCAACAGGCTCCGCGGTGGTCAGCACCGCCGGCTCCGGCTTCACGGCGACGACGGCCGCCGCCTCAGCCGCCGGCGGCATCAGCCACGGCCGGGCGCTGCTGTAGGGGATGGCCTGGTACATTACTTCCCGACGACGTGCGTCCGCGTTTGACGTTCCGGCCGCCGAGTCTTCGTCCTCCTTCCTCCCCTAACTTTTTTTTTCCTGTTCTCTCTCACCCCGTCTTTTCCGCGCGGGCGTGGAGCGTGGTTCCTGTGGGCGATGGTTGGGGTTGGCCGGTTGGGGCGCTGGTGTAAATGGCGCGGGACGCGGGGGATTATATACAGGGGAGGTGAGGTGGGCGGGTGACGTCACTGCGCGGCCCCACCGCGACGCGGGGTACCTTTCGACCGGTTCGCGCGGACCGAGTGACTGCTGCACGCGAGTCTCGGGCTCGGGGAGGCCGGAGGGGGGTGAATGGCGTTGGCGTGGAGGGGCGTCAGCCGCGGCTCGGGGACGCGCCGGGGACGCCGGCTGCGTGACGACAGCTGCTACGGAGGCGGACGTGGACGCGGACCCGCGCGCGTTGCGGTTGGACTCATGTTGGGGGCGGGCCAGGCGGGCGGTCCTGATCCTGTGCGAGCGGAAGAAGCCTGCGGGGCCGCGAACAGCGGGCAGGATCTTTTTTTTCTTCCCTTTATATCACATAAATATTGATAATTTTTAATAAACTTATCAAACCTAAATACCTAATATAGTTTGTCTTATTATAAGACAAAATAAAAACTTAAGGGACAGAGTGTAGTATTAATATGACAATCTAGATTCTAGATTACCAAATATAGAGAGCGTTGACTAATCGCGCTACACATCTAGAGCATTTTGCCAACCTAATCACAAAGCTTCCATTCTCTATCATAGCCGTCTAAAAAGGAACCAAACCGCTTAGATCAACGGCGAAACCGTATACTATGTCCCCTCCGGGCTCCGGCCAGTTTCGAAGAGAAGCGGTCAACAGACAAATCCGGGCCCGCTGGCTGTAGTAGCTGTAGCTTGGGTGGTCGTCGGGCGCCCACCTTTTCGCGTGTGTGATGGCGTCGGCAGCGGCGGCGTCCGTAATCCGAGACGTCACGCGGGTTGGCACTTGGGCGTTCGTTTTTTTTACCAGCACCTGTCGGGCCCCGATTAAAGTAGCGCCGGTCGAGGTCGAGCTGCGCGACCCGATCGACGGGCCGGGCCAGCTTGGGAGAGGGAGACGGCGCGCGGCCGGTCGATCGGTCAGACTGTGCGTATGTGTGCTGCCGCTTGCCGCCGGTGGAGAATACTACGATCGCTCTTGCGTGGCGGGGGCAGCGCATGTGGATCACGTATGACGTCGCTTTTGTTGGCCCCGTACGGAGCTGCTTTGGTTGACACCATGCATGACGCACCTGGAGAACCTTCGGATCGATATACTATCTCTTGTACTTGCTGCTCTTGTTTCTGCACTCCACTTACGTCTCTTTGCGCGCTGCACCAGTATTACTCCTGCTTCAAGTTCAACACACAGTGGCCAAACTGCCTTTGTCATTTCTAATCTAAAAGAGTACAACATCTTGCGGGAATATGCGGCTCTATCTGTTCTTTTCGAGACTAGTACAATACTAGTTCAGACTGAAATTATTGGTTCAGACCTGATACGTTCCTGGTCGTACGTCTTGTTCCAAGTTTTCTCTCTGGCGTCTTGTTTAGATTCCGCTCTTATAGGCGGAGGCCAGAAGAGGAGAAGCCGGCGGCACCGAGGGGTCACACCTTCCCCTGCGGCGGGAGAGACGGAGACGGAAAGCCAGAAGTCACGGGAGTTAACAGAAACTCCTCCAATCAATTCCATCAAAGGAAACTGAGTGACAAAATAAAGGCCTCGCCCGCCCGTCCGCTCGCTCGCCGCCGCCGCCGCCTGCCTGCCTGCCACGCCACGCCACGCGCACGCGCACGGGCACGGGCTCGGGCCAGGCCGGGCGGCGGCGGCGGCGACGCGCGCGTGTGGCATCCAGGTGATTCACTTTTACTTCTCAAATAGATCGGTCAATGATCAAGTATTTAAGTAGAGTTGCCTCTCGATTAAATTCCCATATGGTATAAAAACCATTAATGCATATGTACGGACCATAGAGTTTAATAGAGATATTAAATAAATGGGCCAAGCCCATAATATTTAACAATCCCCACCAAACTCTAGGGTACGCAGTTTGGAGTTCTTATAACCACATTCCTTTTATATACCAGTGTTTCGATTGAGACTGTTAAGTTGAACATCCATCTAGAAAGCTAGCTACACTCATCCACAACTGAACAATGGACAGAACCTTGAATTGACAATTTTGTGCGAGATGAGTTTCACATAACCTCTTAACTGATACTAGGCTGCCAAGTGCCTTCCCTCTGTTTTGAAGCATATAAGTCACACTTCGAGGCCTTTTCATGAGCATCTAGAGATTACCCACATCTCATAGATTGTGACTAGCAATCGAGCTCATATAGGTGTGTTCCTTATGGGATGTTATGTAGGACAACATCCCCGCTATACCAAGCCGCTCGGATCACATTAAGAACTTAATCATCCTGCCTAACAGTATTGGAGAGACGGTGCATCTCCAACGAACTGAGCTATAATCTAAGGGGTCTCTCCCTCAGTCAATCAACAGCTTGTTTCGCCATCCTAATTCACGGGATCTCCGATCACATAGGACAGGTTACCACTGTTGATGGCTCTATGTGGGTCTTAAACCCAGTTCCCTCGACGCACCTTCTATCACATTGCGTGACAGATCCTTAGTGAATTGATCTGCCAGATTATTTGATGTATGGACATAGTCCAATGCAATTACTCCGGAGTTTCTTAGTTTTCTGACAGTCTTCAAACGTCTCTTCACATGCTTTGTGGACTTCATATTATCCTTAGAACTGTTTACCTTAGTGATCACAGTTTGATTATCACAGTTCATGGAAATTGTCGGGATTGGTTTCTCAACAATCGGCAAATCCATTAGGAGATCACGGAGCCACACTGCCTCAGCACTAGCGGTATCCAATTCGGTCAGTTCTGCTTCTATTGTAGACTTCGTTAAGATAGTCTGCTTGCAAGACTTTCAAGAAACAGCACCACCTCCAAGTAGGAACACATATCCACTCATGGCATACAGCTGATCCACATCAGAAATCCAATTAGCATCACAATAACCCTCTAGCACCCTCGGATACCCGAAAAAGTGAATGCCGTAACTCATTGTCCCTTTCAAATAGCGCAGCACTCTCTCAAGAGCATTCCAGTGAGTATCTCCCGGATTTGACACAAACCGGCTCGGTTTTGCTTACAGTGACGAGATATCGAACTGATTGCGCTAGCTAGGTACATGAGAGAACCAATTATCCGTGAATATCTCAATTGGTCTCTTGCAATTCTGTGATTCTTCCTCAAATGAACGCTTGGATCGTACGGAGTAGGAGCAGGCGTACACTCACTGTACCCAAATCGGTTCAAGACCTTTTCCACATAGTGAGACTGCATAAGAGTTACCCCACCATTTCCTTCCTCCCTTGAAAGCTTAATGTTGAGAATAACATCAGCCTCACCCAAGTCTTTCATCTCAAAGTTACTCGACAAAAAGTCTTTTACTTCTTTGATCACATTTAGATTGTTGCCAAATATTAATATATCATCCACATATAGGCATAGTATCACACCATCACCACCACCAAACCAATAATATACACATTTATCAGCTTCATTCACAACAAAGCCGGCTGAAGTTAAAGTTTTATCAAACTTCTCATGCCACTGCTTGGGGGCTTGCTTTAGGCCATACAGGGACTTCAATAACTTACAAACTTTACCCTCCTGACCATTTGCAATAAACCCATCAGTCGATCCATGTAGATCTCTTCCTCAAGCTCCATTTAGGAAGGCTGTCTTAACATCCATCGATGAATGAAAAGATCATGTGAGGCGCCCGGGGGATAGCAACACACGAATGGTCGTCGATGAAAGCAACAGTGAGTAAGTATCAAAGTAATCTTCACCTTCCTTACGTGTATAACCCTTAGCAACAAGCCTAGCTTTGTACTTCTCAATTGTACCATCAGGCCTCAACTTCTTTTTTAAACACCCATTTGCATTACAAAGTTTTGCAACCAAATGGACGGTCAACCACTTCCCACGTCCCCATTGGACATAATGGAGTCCATCTCACTTTGCCTTTGCCTCCTTCCACATGTCGAGAATCGGAGAAGAGTATGCCTCGAGAAAGCGGTTGTGGCGGTGTCATCCACGAGATATATAATAAAGTCTTCTCCAAAGGATTTTGCAACTCTTTGCCTCTTACTCCTTCGAGTGACAGTATTATCATCCTCCTCGAGGATTTTGCTCAAGCTCATGGGTGTTATCATCAGGTGTATATTCGATTCATGAAATTCGTGAACGAGTCATGACTAGACACGCTAGGTGCACCTATTTTCATTGGAAATTCATTCTCAAAGAACGTGGCATCTCTAGACTCCATGACCGTTCCAACAACCATATCAATAGCACTAGAATTTATTATTAAAACCGATAGCCCACACTATGAATGGCATAGCCGAGGAAAACACAATCTACGCTTTTTGTCCAAGCTTTAAGCTTTTTGTTTATTAGCACGTTCACTTTGGCCAAACAACCCCAAACGCGAAGATAAGAAATATTTAACCTCTTTTTCTCCCATTCCTCAAATGGAGTGATTTCTTTGTTCTTTGTGGGCACTCTATTTAGGACATGATTCGCGATTAAAATTGCCTCACCCCACCATTCCTTAGATAAACCAATTTGTCTCCAACATGGTATTCACCAAGTCGGTTAGAGTGCGGTTCTTTCTCTCAACAATCCCATTGGATTGTGGTGAGTATGGAGGTGTCCTCATGGATTATTATACTGTGCACCGCAAAAAACTTCGAAAAATTCATTAGAAAATATTCTCCCCATGATCGGACCGCAAACGTTTGATTTTCTTTTCAAGTTGATTCTCAACCTCACTTTAAAAGGTTTTAAAATAATGTAATGCCTCATCTTTTGTTTTAATTAGGTACACATAGCAATATCGAGTGCAATCATCTATGAACGTTATGAAGTATCT